ACTTTCAGGAACCTTATATATTATCGCTAATCAAAAAATGACTACCCAATGTAGGTATTACTCCCCCACTTTAAAAATGAAGGAACAGATGCAGAGATGTTAAGTGTCTTTCTCAGGGCTCTACAACTTGCTTAGTGTTCAAGTAGGGCTTCAAGCCAGGTATTTTTTGCTCCAAAGCCCTTTCTCTATCTACTACTACAGACTGTCTCCTTGATGGGATGTGTCACTTCATATAATATAAAATTATATAGTTGCCAAAAGTAAAAATTATGTACTCAGGTAGGTATACAGATATTCATGGCCTACTATCTGGTGACATCAAGTACATTAAAAAGTGACTATACTGTTAATTTAAAACATCCACTATTGCTTTACTCAAGATAGATGAAAAGACAAATAAGACATGATCCCCATCTTTAATGAAACTTCTAGATAAATGACTTAATTTTTTAAAAGCACAAGGACACCGATAGCAGAGATGGCTTTCTGACCAACACAATTTATTGTTCTCTTTTTATTGTAATTGAATTATCACTGGGAAATGATATTCCAGCCAAAAATTACATTTCCCTGTCCCCTTTACATTGCTGTGGTTGAATTCTCAGCAATGGAAAGCTAACAAAATTGATATGTTTTACTTTCAGGACATAGTTTTAAAAAATCAGTGTTTTTTTTTTTAATTTCCATACTCTTTTTCTCCTACTGAAATGTTAGTGGTAGAGCCACAAAATGGAAGGAGCCTAGGCTCATGAGCCACTGTGTGGAGGAAAGTCACCAAGGATTAGGAACACTTATCTAAGTCTGTTAATGTGAGAAACATAAACTTCTGTTGTATTAGGCCTTAAAATTTTAGCATTTATTTGCTACAGCAATTTGTATTGCCTGAAGACTAATAATAATACAGAAATTAGTACCTCAAAGTCAAGATGTTGTAACAAAAACATAAAATATGCATGCAACACTGGTTGAACGTTTTGTGTTAAGGGAGAAAACAGATGTTGGAGGCTGAAAATAGGAAGACTCTATCATATGAAATCAAAATGTTTGACAAGTTATTTCCTATTCTATCAAGACAAACTACCTACAGAACCTGTAGCTCTAAGAGAACAAGTTAGAAAAAGTTGGAAAGTTATTATGTAGTGATTATTTGCTGCATGTAACAAGGTACTAGAAAAAGAAGTGAGCTCAAGTTATTAGTAACTGTTTTAAAAGAAGGCTAGTCAGTGTCTAGGTCAAGCAATAGGTAAGAAAATTCATCCCAGAAAGCAGGATATTTGTGAAGACTTTGGAGAGGTCCCAAGAAAGGGGGATACCTTAAAATGCCGAACCAGCAAGATTCCATCATTCTTATGAATCACTCAAAGCTGGATGTTTCTTTTTTTCTTTTTCTAAAGATGGCTTTTAAATGCAGATATTTTACCTTTGTTTCACCACTGTATTTGGGTTGAAGAGCAGGAGACAGATTACTTGTCTTTTTAATTCATAATTTACTGTATCATAAGGAATAATATTTGGACCATATGGATAGGAGGAAAGACCTGTGCGTGAGATCTCAGAGTTTGAGCTAGATAAGGTTATTAGACTTAAGGCTGTCTCCCTTCAGGAGAAGTGAGTTTGTCCTACGTGTGAGAGAACGATGCAGAGAGGCATAATATTGTAAATTATGCCAACTGTTCTCTAAAATGTGTGCCCTCCTTTCCATAGGATAGAGTTGTCGTTGGAAAGTATCTATTTATACACCCATGTCAACACTAGAAATTATCATTCTTCTTAATGCTTGTCAGTCTGATTGATTATAACTGATATCTCACTATCTGTTTATAAGCTATTCTGCTGAATATGAGTTAACTTGTGTATGTAACAGGATACGTTCATTAGCCATTTGTAGTCATTTTCTATGAACTGCCTGGTTATGTAGCATATACCGCTTATGTGCTGCTTCTAAGTCATATTATCTAG